CAGCAGAGAGATTACCACATTAATCCTTTTTGCTGCACATTAATCCTCAAATTACAGGCTGGAGGGCAGGGAGATTGGTCAGGTTTTGCTTAACTGTCTCCATTTTTATGCATTTCAACTGCGTATTTAGCCATTTGACTGGATTTCAGGTTTAAATGTTAGCTGATCATAGAAGTCAAATCAGAAGATCATAGATATATCTATAGTCGCCTTCAGTTAGGGTGGACAACTCCATTTCAGGGGGGTGAATGGATAGTTTAATGATTGAATAGATACCCCTAAAGTTGGCCTTATACACATTCAGTTCGCAACAATCAATTCAGAATCATGATAAGGGATATGAGCATATACACTATATTGCCAAATGTATTTGGACGCCTGCCTTTTATACGCACATGAATTTTTAATGGCATCCCAGTCTTAGTCTGTAGGGTTCAATATTGAGTTGGCCCTTTACAGCTATAACAGCTCCAACTCTTCTGGGAAGGCTGTCCACAAGGTTTAGGAGCGTGTCTATGGGAATGTCTATGGGAATGTTTGACCATTCTTCCAGAAGCGCATTTGTGAGGTCAGGCACTGATGTCAGATGAGAAGGCCTGGCTCGTAGTCTCCTCTCCAATTCATCCCGAAGGTGTTCTATCAAGTTTAGGTCTGGACTCTGTGCAGACCAGTCAAGTTCCTCCACCCCAAACTCACTCATCCATGTCCTTATGGACCTTTGCTTTGTGCACTGGTGTGCAGTTATGTTTTAACAGGAAGGCGCCATCCCCAAACTGTTCCCACAAAGTTGGGAGCATGAAATTGTCCAAAATGTCTTGGTATGCTGACACCTTAAGAGTTCCCTTCACTGGAATGAAGGGGCCAAGCCCAACACCTGAAAAACAACCCCACACCACAATTCCCCTTCCAGCAAACGTTACACTTGGCACAATGCAGTAAGGCAAGTACCGTTCTCCTTGAATTTACTGAGCTCTTGAGAGTGACCCATTCTTTCACAAATGTTTGTAGAAACAGTCTGCATGCTTAGGTGCTCAATTTTGTATACCTGTGGTCATGGAGGTGATTGGAACACCTAAATCCAATGATTTGGTGGGATGTCCCAATACTTTTGGCAATATAGTATATGTTGGGTGGCAATTGCAACAAGTTTTCAGTAGTTGATTCATGCCTGCATGTCCAACTGCCTTAATTTGTCCATAAAGAGCTTGGCCTTGCCAAACCCAGTGAGTGGTAGGGGTTAGTTCAGCCGTTGGTAAAATATTGTCTGCAATATCATTCTTACCAGGACTTTACAAGACAGGGTTATCTGTATTTTTAGAATGAAGACTTCTGAATTAGTGAAATATTTATGGAACGACACAAGGGCTGGAACATGCTTCCATGTGGTTATGCCTTGGCATTCTTTATAACCATGCACGGGAAAATTAATTTCATTTCTGACATTAGCTGTTCTCTTCCAGTGCCTGTAGACAAGAACACAGACCAGTATCTCCTCTACATGACCTAACATTCTACCAAACAGACTTTTAGCTCAATCACATTTCTAAGATCCTGTTTACCCCATCTGCAATCTGAAGTTAACCAATTTTGGTGGGACTTGAAGGTGGGTTGTGAATTACAGAAACCATCTATCCTTTTAGTTGCAGTTACCAACCTTTTATTTTAATTGCAGATTTTCCTTTTTTTATTAAAATTTGACCTCAGATGAGCTGTGTATGGGACCCTGTCATATTGGCTGTGATAAGTCCTGCAAGGAGAACCATAAATTACTTGTAGTTGTGTGCACAGCCAGTCTAGTGGGACTACATTATTCACCATTACATTTGGTTTATAGGCATGATTATTGTATAGTCCAGTCCCAGGAGTGGGTATGTATCATAATAGACTAGACTGTTTTTCTGTTACATGATAAGGTCACAAATCTCTGTGGCCTGTTTGGAGAGCTAAATGTATGGACACTTTTTGGTTATAGAGTCGCTTTAAAAGCTGTTTCCATGGATCGGCCTTTGATTATTGTTTTAGCTCTTTTCTAAATGGCATGTTATATAGTCTGAAATATTTTATCATGTTTATAAACCTTTTTTTAAGTACTACAAAACAATAGTTAAATAAAAACATACCAATATATCCAAGCCTGACAGGTGTAGATGAAGACGGCACTAATTTCCTATATTACCTGTCCTTCCTCTAATCCTTTCGAAAATGTTAATTCCTAAAGGAGTCAATTACCCACCATTTATTTACATCGGATGCTTTCATCCCATTTTAGCAAAATGCTGACTGCATAAAAGGAGAACAGGTATATCATGATAATGTGGAGGGATCAAATGCTTACATGCTGCATAAAGAACTAAATTGTAAACAAAAGCATCTTTCCTCCACACAGATTAAAATATCAAATTATTCTAATTGCATGAACACCTGGTATGCTTTTCCATAAAACCTGGATTACAAATGCTTCTGAGGATTGTCTACACTTAGGCAGGAAAGCCCAGAATCAAGTATTAGATTTGGGACCCAGAAAGAATCATTGGACATTTGCGAGCAGCTTTGTCACAGGAACCTAATCAACGAGGCAGGTTGCCCAAAATATGGAGGTCTGTTCGAAAGGGCCAGAACACAAGCTGCTGAACATTCACTTAAAGCAGAACTCCAGTCAAAAACCTCTTTACATGTCCTTGTTGCTGATTTTCTACCTTCACTGAATGTGCCATTCATCTTCTGGTTCACTCAGTAGTTGCTCTTAAATAGGCTGTTCATTTTCAGATCAAACCGTTAATTCTGTTTGGTTTCCTGTTTGTAAGACTGGTGGCTACTATACAGTTGTGTCCAAAATTATTCAACCCCCACTGAAATTGAGTGTTTTGGCCAGTTTGACATTGCTTTTGATCATTCAGTCATCTTGCTTACATTTACATTAAAGAGGCACTTGTAGGTCAGACAAATATAACATAACAGTTATAATGAAATAACCACAAATGTCTTTTCTGTGCTCACAGCATTATCAGTTTTATTCAACCCCCAAGTGACATTCAATCTTAGTACTTAGTACAGCATCCTTTTACAGTTATAACAGCTTTTAAACGTGAAGCATAGCTTGACACAAGTGTCTTGCAGCGATCTGAACGGGTATCTTCGCCCATTCTTCATGGGCAAAGGCCTCCAGTTCAGTCACATTCTTAGGCTTGCGCACTGCAACTGCTTTCTTTAAGTCCCACCAGAGGTTCTCAATCGGATTTAAGTCTGGTGACTGCGATGGCCACTCCAAAATGTTCCAGCCTTTCCTCTGCAACCATGCTCTAGTGGACTTGGAGGTATGCTTGGGATCATTGTCCTGTTGAAAGGTCCAACGTCTCCCAAGCCTCAGGTGTGTGACGGACTGCATCACGTTTCCATCCAATATCTCCTGGTACTGAAGAGAATTCATGGTACCTTGCACACGCTGAAGCTTCCCTGTACCTGCAGAAGCAAAACAGCCCCCAAAGCATGATTGACCCTCCACCATGCTTCACAGTAGGCAAGGTGTTCTTTTCATCATAGGCCTTGTTCTTCCTCCTCCAAACATAGCGTTGATCCATGGGCCCAAACAGTTCTAATTTTGTTTCATCAGTCCACAGAACACTATCCCACAACTTTTGTGGTTTGTCCACATGGCTTTTGGCATACTGCAGTCGACTCTTCTTATTCTTTGGAGACAGCAAGGGGGTACGCCTGGGAGTTCTGGCACGGAGGCCTTCATTACGCAGTGTGCGTCTTATTGTCTGGGCTGAAACTTCTGTACCCACATCTGACAAATCTTTTCTCAGTTCCTCAGCAGTCACACGGGGACTTCTCTCCACTCTACGCTTCAGGTAGCGCACAGCAGTTGAAGTCAGCATCTTCTTTCTGCCCACGACCAGGTAGCGTTTCAACAGTGCCCTTTGCCTTGAATTTGCGAATGATGCTTCCTAAGGTGTCTCTTGGTATGTTTAACATCTTTGCAATCTTCTTATAGCCATTGCCCTTCCTGTGAAGAGAAATCACCTCTTCTCTTGTCTTCCTGGACCATTCTCTTGCCTTCACCTTGTTTGTAACCACACCAGTAAATGTCTAGAAGGAGCTGAGTATCACAGTCATTTTAAAGCTGCCTAATTGGTGCTTATTATGCTTGATTGCTGCTCGGTGACATCCACAGGTGTTTTCAATACCTGATGGAAAGCACCTGTATGAACCTCTGTTCTTCAGAGTGGTAGTCTTTAAGGGGTTGAATAATTGTGGCAATGAAGAAACCACATAAGAACCATTTACTACTGTATTACATAAACAATTGATGTCATTTTAGTTGCATTTGGGTAGTTACAACGTCCTTGTAGGATTTGATTCTGAATACAATTCCAAATGTACACTATAGTCCCTAAACCCCTTTACAGCATTGGGGGTTGAATAATTTTGGACACAACTGTAGCTCCTATTCCCCAAGCCACTGGTCTTGGCACATCCCTTCTGTAGTTCTTTCTCCAGGAAGCAGTGATATAATTCAGCCCCACTTGCAATGATGGGCGGACAGATTCACAGACACATTCAACATGTACAGGCCTTCTGTACCCGCCCACATTCACTACAATTCCCTGTGGTTGATGGGTACTGTAGTTTCCTTTTGCTGCAGAGAAGAAAGAGAACATATTATGCAATCCCTGCTGTTAAACCTCCTCCTTGGCAGAGCAGATGCTGTTATCTTTTGAATTACTGAGATGAGGTCATGAAAATTCAATTAGAATGTTAAGGTTAAGTATTTTCAAAATTCTATTAACTGTTTAGTGTTTTGTATAGGAGGGGTGCACTAATGGGTGATTTTTTTTTTTTTTCCGCTTATCCCAGAGTTCTTCTTTAACCACCTTCCGCCCGCCCTATAGTACAATGACGGGTGCAAGGTGGTTCTCTCGTTCTGATAGGACGTCATATGACGTCCTACCATTCTCACTGCGCATGCGCGGCTCAGGGAGCGCGCAGCGCAGCAATTGCCGGTCACAGCGGATCACGGAAAGAGCTGAAGATGTCAGCTCGGTCATGTGATCAGCTGTGTCCAATCACAGCTGATCACATGTAAACACGGAAACGCCGGTTATCGGCATTTCTCTCCTCTCGAGCTGTCACGCTGACAGCTCGAGAGGAGAGGAGAGCCGGTAATCGGCTTTCCGCGGAGGGGACATGTACACTGATCATCAGGGCACTGATGATCAGTGGGCCCTGATGATCAGTGTGGCCCCAAAAGTGCCACCTGTCAGTGCTCATCAGTACCAGTGCCCATCAGTGCATACCAGTGCACATCAATGCCACATATCAGTGCCCATCTGAGCTGCCTTTCAATGTCACCTATCAATGCCAATCAGTGCCACCTCAGTGCCGCCTATCAGTGCCAATCAGTGCCGCCTATCAGTGCCATGTATCAGTGCTGCCTTTCAGTGCCCATCAGTGATGCCTGTCAATGCCCATCAGTGCAACCTACCAGTGCCACCTATCAGTGTCCATCAGTGCAGCCTATCAGTGCCCATCACTGCATCCTCATTAGCGTACATCAGTGAAGGAGAAAAATCACTTATTTACAAAATTGTATAACGAAAACTAAGAAATGTTTTTTTAAGTTTGTTTGGTTTGTTTAAGAAAAATAAAAATCCCAGAGGTGATTAAATACCACCAAAAGAAAGCTCTATCTATCTCAAAAAAATGATAAAAATTTCATATGGGTACAATGTTGCATGACCGCGCAATTGTCATTCAAAGTGTGACAGCACTGAAAGCTGGAAATTGGCCTGGGCAGGAAGGGGGTATAAGTGCCCTGTAGGCTAGTGGTTAAAGAAAAACTCCTCATTGAAATACACTGTCTCACCTGACACAATATTTGTAATGTGATTTGGTCACTGGTGTCATAAAGGCACCTGTGCCAGCCAGCATCGCCAGATCTTTTACTCAGAGACATTTCTGCAGGTTTTGTACCTTCATGTATAGAATGCATGAAGGTAAAAAACCTTGAGCATTTACAACCATTTTAAATGGACAAACATTTAAATAGATATACTTCCACTTACGATCGATTTAAACTCAGAGTTTAGAGCAGATTTGATCACACTCGATTAACAGAGTTTTTTCCACTGATCGGCAGTGCTAAGATGCTTTGTTCAATAATTTGATTGTATGTCAATCAATCAGATTATGAGACTGCATGGTAAAAACTTGCTCAATAAGTTGTTATGCCCTTAAGATCTTCCAGCTAGTGATTGAGATCCACCTCCCCATTTGTGGCATATTGATCCAATGGGTAGTTTGATTATTCATATCAGGGGAGATCAATCGGAAAAGAGTCCAGCCATTTATTGAAGGGTGTATGGTCCCCATAAGTCTTGCCAGAGCCTATGTTCGGGCAGCATCATTACTCTTTTTTTCTGCACGACATTCATACTGTTAGATGTACAGCATTGTGTTGAATCAGCCAAAATTCAACCTAGGTTTGGCCTGTCCGCACCACCCAACTCAACAAACTTTGTGTAAAAAATTGAAGGAGCCAAGTAGAACAATAATTGGGGAAACAGTGCATGCATCAAATATTGTCACACTGTCTGGGTAGGTATGCAGATGCTTAAATACAATATCATGCAGGGGAGAGTCCTCCATCCATGCTGTTTAGCATGGGAAAAAAAAAATCAAGGGATTTCTCTCGTTCAGCCTGCAGGGCTGAACAAAAGAAATCTAACCAGTGTATGGCAAGCTTTAGAGTTCTGTCTAAATACTATTATGTGGGTCCTTATGCTGCTTCCATGTAAATTTAATTTAAAGGCTAAATGCACCTATTGTAAAATAAACAAAATTCAAAATCTAGATCTTTTTGCACATAAAAAAAATGTGCGTTTTTATTGTTTTTTTTACATTGCTGCATCCTCCCTTTTGAGCAGACAGTTACTGATGGCAGGAAGAATCAATGAATTATGTGAGTGCTTACTAGTGCCCTTGCAGATCATTTATAACTACAAGCCATCATCCTCAATAGCTAACAGTACTTGTAGTCTGCTCATTCACAGGAAACTGTGAATGAATGAATCGGATGCGTGGGCGGAGCCCCGCATGGCCCTGCTGTTTTCAAATTGTGACAGCGGGTGCTGGGGATCCCCCACCCACTATCCGAGAGGGGAGCATTGGAGGCAGGAGGTGGGTGTATAAGGATCATGTTACACCCTAAATATGGACGTCACATGTAATATGCTCCTAAAGATGAAGGTAGCCTTTATTTTTGTTATATGGAATAAAAAACTGAAACAAGTAGCTCTTCATATTTATTTTTATTTTTTGTGTTTAGTTTTTATACAAAGTAGGGCCTGCCAGGTGATTGTTGTGTTTGTTGGGTTTTCTTTGGAGATTTTCCAGGAGACATGTCGATTATTGAAGGGAAATCCCTTCCAATTTATCCCTGAAGCATATGTCCTCAGGAGATTTCAACTGTACTGTTTTGGTAACAGTCGTCAGATTTTGGGTTTCTCATCTTGGCCTTGTGGCTTTGGTGAGATTGGTCACCAGACAAAATAAATCTCCAGCGTAAACCTCCCCTTTTTATGTCTGTCTTGCTGTCTCAATTATTTTGGACTTTTAAACTGTTGTGGATGGAAGGATCAACATAGGATTCTTCTAACTTAAAGCAGAAATGAAGAACATTTTATTTTTCATTTTTTATTATTATTATTATTATTATTATTATACAGTATTTATAAAGCGCCAATGGTTCGCTCAGCGCTGTACATTACAAAGGGGGGCAGAACATGTGACAGAACAATACCAATACAATGCAAAACATGAGTAAGGGAGGGTTATACCACCTATAAGTTTTTTTTTTTTTTTTTTTTTTTAATTTTTTGCCATCTGTGTGGGGAGATTTCACTTCCTGCTCCATAGCCAAAACAAGAAGTGAGAGGAAATTCCTTCCAAGTGAGAGAATCCCTGGTTGTCACCAGAACTAGTGTCACTGTTTTGGTGATCAATCCAAAATTTTGGATTTTTTTTTTTTTCTTCACTTTTGTAGGGTCAGAAGAAACAGGATGAATCTCCCGGATGGAAACACAGACAACAATAAAAACCTGACAGGTATTTTGATCCCTCTACTCTTCCCAAAGCTAAAAAATAAGTATTGCCTTTGGTTACACTTTAACTTGTGCACAAAGAAGTAGGTTGGCACAACTGGTCTCCTCCTAGGGTTAATGAACCAAACCTTGCCCTGCCAGAAGACAGGACATGATGAAGGTGTTTTGTTAAGAAAAGGAACAAAAAGGGGGCGTGTATGGAGTACCACCTGTCCAACAATATCACCTATCATTGGATGCCTACCCATTAGAGGAGAAGGGAGACACTTTATCGTCCTGTAGGAATACTGTGTTGCTGGATAGGCTCATTGGTCCTGAGGGGCCTGGGCAGGAAGGTGAGGGGGCACCCCAGACACTGAGGATTGGCACGAATTTGCTCACACCTGCATGAGGAGTGTTTTTTTTCCATTTTATGGACATTTATTGATTATCTGGCTGCCCATGGTGTTTCCACATATTTTATCCTTTTAATACACCTAGTTGCATGCTATTTATTCCCGGCAAGGGATACACACACTGATTGCACTTATTGATCCCTCAATTGAGGATCCTCTTCACAAGGGGTCAGCTCTATGCAAGTGTATGTTTTTTTCCTGTTGCACATTGATGTGTTATATTTGTGCTTTTCATGTATATTGTTTTCATTTTGTTTATGTTCTGTAGCACGCTGCACTTATATCATATTGCATCCTCCTAGCTGCCATCCTGTCATACTAATGCGATTGCTTCAGTACATACTGAGTAATCAGAAGTGGTGTGCAGGAAGTAAAGGATAAGTTCACCTTTGGGAACATGTTACATGTTTCACCCGTTTTTAGGGTGGAACATGTAACATGTTCCCTGCAGCTGCGCCTGCTGCTCCCCCTCCCTCAGGGAGAAGATTCCCCATACTATCTGTCCGATTTGAAAACAGCGTGGTCATGCGAGGCTCCACCCACATGACCGCGTCACTCATTCAGACTTCTGTGAATGAGTGCCTACAAGTCTCGGCAGCCTTAGCGGCTGTCGGCTTGTAGTTTTCAATGAACTACCACGGCATATCAGGAGTGAGCATGAGAGGTTGACTATCTTCCTACATACCTTGGCACAGTGGAGAGTGAACTTAGCCACAATCTAACATGAATTCAGATATTCATAGGAAAAACAAAATTTAATTTGGAGATTTGAGGGAGGCTGAGAGCAATAAGAGGCACTTTTTTGTTTTCGGAATACATACTTGAATAGTTTTTATTTTTCCTATATCAAAGTTTACTGTCACTTTAATTCCTTGTTGTGATTTCTTGTATGTTCTTGGCCTTTTTACTGTTTAGACTCTCCACCTTTTTACATAGATGTTTAAATCTTTTTTATTTTTTTTATAATATCAAAACGAGTAAGTTAGTAAGACAGTCGGTACCGCTAGTGTTTGCTGAGAAGAATGGAGCCGTGGCTTCTGGGAAGTATTTATTGATCATAGCGCTTTCCCTAGGATGAGGTTAGAGAAGTAACGTTAGTGTCTTGGCTTCGTGGAAGTCTGGTCAGGCACACAAGAGTCCATCACAGGTATTATTACATTTACAGCCAAATCCTGGGAGCTTGGGAACATCTGCTTGAAGATGCTGAAGAGTTTGACAATGCACTAATTGAATTAGGCTTTTTTTTTTTTTTTTTTCGGAGGTTGCAGGCTACACTAATTGAATCTGAATCAGCCGTGTGTTTATTTGTGTATATTTGAAATGAGAAAAGCTTAAACCTTAGGGAGCAGACTGGCTTGCAGACATGGCCATTCAAGTGTACTGTGCTGCTCTCTAATGGTCCTGAGCAGTATTGCCAGGTCTCCGGGGAAATGGAAACAGACGTCTTCTTTATTTCTTCCACGTACAGCAATGCCGCCCTATCCTTGTGCTGGCACACACTGTTTAAATCTGGTAAATGGACTGTTCTATCATTGCTGTGTGTGTGCATGTGTATGTATGTATGTATGTATGTCAGGTGTGTGGAAATTTTTGTGAAAAAAAACTACTTGCCCAGGGACTAAATCGGGGCCCCAATCTACTTGTCCAGATAAAAAGAAAATACATTTTAGCCAAAACTGTATTTAAATCCAAAATGATTTTAGGAATGTCTGGGGCTTTTCAAAACAAAAGGGGCTTTATGGTGCCTTAAACGTTTAATATTTGTTACATTGCTCTGTTTATCTCCTCCTCCCCTCCCTTTCTGTCTCCAGCACCGCACTTTGGGACTAGCAGGGAGGGGGGAGACCTTGCAGTGTAATGAGCACCGACTGGGTGTTCATCAGGAAAGGGGAGTGTCGCGCTTATCCTTTTATCCCTTTCACTGTCAGAGCCATTTTTGCATTTTTTTGCACATGTTTAAAAAATTATTTTAGGCTTGAA